AAAGAAAATTTTTTAGTTGATATAGCCGAATTTGTGACAAGGGATGTTGAAGAAAATGTCACGTATGGTGTACATTTGATGGATAGTGGCTTATATGATGTGATTGTGTTAAATCTCACTGAAATAAGTCAAGACCAAAATGCCATGCAAGCTAGTCAACATACGAAGGAAATTCAATCTATTAATACAGAAAGTGCACATGGTGACATTCACGTGCTACACACTCCGGAAAGGGAAGGAAATCTAGTGGAAAATCAAGCTCAATCTCACATGCTTGAAGCCAATTTTGCTCAAGAAGGAGCAAGGTGTTTTCCCTCATCCCGAGAAGAGCAAGAACTTGATGGCACACCTACAAAGAGAAATTAAAAAATCTGGAGAATGTTGTCTTAAGCCTTGTTGACCGAATGGAGAGCATGTTTCAAGGGATCTACACTCATGTGGATCAAGTTGTCAATATTCAAGGTGGAAAATTCGAAGCATCTTTTGATGAAAATCGGAGAAGTCAACAACATTTGATGGATACCCACCAAGCACTTGAAAGACAAGTTGGAAGTTTGAATAACAATGTCAAGGGGCAACTCAATGAGTTCTATATCCAACTTTCCCAAATCCTCAAGAATTCTGGAAAGGCAAATGAAGCAATTGCCGTGAGCCAAAGCCAAGGTATTCTCAATGTTGTTCATCAACATGAAAAGCAGATTAGTGATGTCCACACGGATCTCATCTCAGTTAACACCAAAGTGGGCTGTCTTCGGGGTTCTTATGAGAATATTTCCGAATCCATGTCATCTCTTCGTGAATCGGTTCATACACTTCTTGATTACGCCAAAAAGGGGGAAGAGAGATTCAGTCATTTGTAGAGCATGATTGAGATGATGATGACTGCCATGGCTAGCAGAAATGTTGGCACAAGCAGTAGTAGAGGTGGAGGAGGCAGATCTGCTGGAAGAAATGCACCAAGAAGAGGAGGATTGGAGTATTGGTTCGGTGGTGGTGAAGCTGGCAGTCCAGGAGGATCAAGCAGTGCAAATACCACTAACCGTTCTTTTCATGATATTGTTTGTGCAGGAGGAAACATTGAGCAAATAAATTGGTACAACCGTGCAGCTCTTTATTTGGAATCCACACCGAGAGATGGTAGAGTTGAAATGCCAAAGTTGGTGACTTTGAATGATCTACCAAAAGGAATGAAGAAAAGTGGTCCTAGTGATCAAAACATGTGGGTTTCAAGTGAAAATTTCAGAAGAATTCAAAGCTATGCTAGAGCCTTGATGATTATGGTTCTAAGGGACTACATCAAAGTCAATGATGCCGAGCTACAAGATGGAAAAAGTCTAGAAGAGTGCATCATATGGTATGAGGAAGGTATACTGCCCGGGAGCAACATCACTGAAGCTTTCAACTACTATTCGGTTGGGCAGGTATGCAACAACTTTGCCATTAGTGACAATTTCGTTGATGTTCAGAACCATATTAACAATGTGCTCAAGGAAAAGAGAAACAAAGTGATTAGATGATTTGTATGATTGTTACAATATTTTTGTGGTCCACGGGTACATGAACCCATGAAACAATTTGGAATGATTTGAATTATCTGTTTATGATGCTATTAAGTAGTTTCTTAATTTTATTATTTGTCTTGAAAGGTAACATTTTTAGCTTAGAGTGTATCAAATCGCATGAATTGGAAAAATGCAAAAATTCATTATCATTAAATTCCAAAAATGCGAAATAAGAATATAGTGGCTAAAAATACCTTTCCTAGAGTCAAAATCATTTGTTAAACTCATCTTGGCTATGTCAATGAAAATAAAATCTTTTGAAAAATAATTGTTTTAAAAGACAAGCCAAATGACTGAGTATAGGTTTTGGCGTCATCAAAAAGGGGGAAAATTGATAGGAATATTTTTGTAAGTTTTGATGAGCCAAATGTATCTTTAGATCCCCTTAGTTTTTTAAGTCTTTAGTACAAGCATCATAAATCAGAATATTGAAATCAGAAGGAATCTACCATAGGAAGAACAAAATTAATTTGAGAAATTAATTTTGGTCCTACGAGTATTCATCCGTGAAAGAAGCATAAAGCAATGGCGTTGCAAGGAATGATTGGATGAGCTTAACGGCGAAATGGTAGAGGTCCTTACTCTAAACGATCACACCTGAGATCGATTCCCTCTCAAGGACCTGGCAGATTTTGAAGGAGCACGATGTGTCCGAAGGAGCACAATGTGACCAAATCTGAAAGGAGCACAATGCCACCTAAGAAGCACAATGCTGTCAGAAGAGCACAATGCCACCTAAGAAGCACAATGTTCAAGTCAAAGGAGCACAATGTGGCAAAAGAGCAAGATGATCAGAAATTGGATAAATTCGAAGGAATTTACTCCAAGTCCACCCACATTCCACAAGACTCCAAAATTGCCTGAAAGACATTTGATCAGAACGGAAAAATATTTATGAAGGCATGAATATAAAAACTTATCCTAGAAATAAATTCTATCAGATGAATTTATTTCAAAGATTCGTTGGATATTCAAATTGACAATTAAAGTAATATTTTTTTAGAAACAACTAGAAAATCAAAGTTGTGATAAAAAATTACTTGGTCAGGCAAGTTGACAAATCAAATCAAAATTGAAGATCTACTACTGTCAACAATATCAGGCTATGAAGATTCAAATTTCAAAATATCAAATTATCCTACTCCAACGGATATATTTGATTAACTATAAAAAGCCATGAAGACTTGAAGAAGGAGTAGTGGTGAACGAGATAGAAGTGCAATACAAGTGCAAAATTCAAAAGTGTTAGTGCTCAAAATATTCTAAGAGACTTAGTCTGAATAGTCTCAAATCTAGTTGGAGAGAGAGAAATACAAATCCTTGTATTTGTAAATTGTAGAAAGAGTATAGCTGTGTGCAAAATACTCTAGTGAGTGTAGCTGTGTGCAAAACACTCGTAGTTGCTAAGTGTAGCTGTGTGCAAGACACTTAGTTGGCGTTGACTATAGTTGTGTGCGAAATACTCGGGAGTTGAGTGTAGCTGTGTGCGAGACACTCGGAGTTGGGTGTAGCTGTATGCAAGACATCCGGAAGAAGTGCCTGTGTAGCACTTGTTCACTATTGTAACTGTGTGTGGAAAATAGTGAATTTCTCCTAGACGTGAAAGGAGAAAAGTGGACTAGGAAGATTACGCCACTTCCGAACCACTATAAATTGCCTCTCTCATTTACATACCGCACTTACATTATTTGCTATATCTATCTCATCCGACTAACCCGTTTACTATTCACAGTTAATCTTAATCATCCGGGTTTAGTGTGTTCTCACGTATGCATGTGACTCAAACTTCTCAAGCTTAAATATTAATTTATTCTAAGCAAGTTTGAAATACTGCATGTAACATTCGTCACACGGACGACGTGACACGATATTTATTTACAATCTTGAATATTGTTATTATATATTGAGTGCACCATCTCTTTATATATTCAAGATATCTCTGCCACTTTACATATCACTTGTACCTATCTTATTTTATACATGCACATTTAATTTACTGGTTGGGCATAACTCTTTACTATTATTCCGCTGTGCAGTTCTAACTTACTCTATTTACTTGTTACTTAGAGTTAAAGTTACCAAAGAGTTATTTAATTTGAAAAAGCTTGAAAGTCTATTCACCCCCCCCCCCCTCTAGACTTTCACCACCCTATCGGGACCAACAATTGGTATCAGAGCGGTTGTCTATTTGAGTCAATTTTGACTGCTAGACAGATCTCGAAAAATCAAGATGATGAAAAGAGATAATGCTCTTGCCCAAAACTTATTATTTTCCTTAGAAAAATTTGACGATTGGAAAATTCGCATGCAGGTACATTTATCCGCATTACACGATGAAATGTGGGAAGTAGTTACAAGTGTACTTTATAATGTTTTTTTCTATTCAAATTATTTTATCAAATTAATTATGTTTTATATTTTGTTATGAATATTTTATAAAGTTTCGATGTGTTTTATTTTTCGTCCATATCCAACAATATTTACAATTATATTTCTTAGGTATTTTTTTTAAAAAAAAAAATTATATCTTTTGTTTTAATGTTTCGCTTTTACTGAATTTTTTTTTTTTAAATCCGTCCTTACTTCTTCGCCCCCTCAACCGAATATCTGGCTCCGTCCCTGGATAAAGTGATGTGACATTTGGAAGGACACAATAAGCATTCACTAGTTCATACAGATTTTAGAAAGACTAAGGTTGTGTTTGGTTTAGGGGTTTAGCTATTCGAAATGGAAATCAAAGTCATTATTATTGTTTAGTCGATAGGTTTTTAGAACACTATTATGAGATTTGATTACCCCTTAATTAGAAAACTCATTCCCTAATAAAATAAGGGTTTCATTCCATTATTTTCTTTTTAATTGGTAATTTGATTTTTAAGTTTAGATTAGTGCTTTTAGATTTTTTATTTTATTTTATTTTTTTGTTCATAGTGATGTTTTGGATGTCTTTATATTAAAATAATTTGTCTTGATTTTTTGTAATTGTATTTTTAAAACATTTATTCCCATTATAGGATCATACATAATCAAACAACAATAATGATAATCATTCAAATTTCACCCTACTACCAAACATGCAAAATACTTTCACCAAAACTCATTACCATTACAAAATATTTGATTCACATTCCGATTCCAATTTTCATGTGCGAACCAAACACACCCTAAATCTCTTGTGCGTTCGGAAGGAAAATATACAATTCGGCACCCTGTATCCTTTTACTGAACAAGAAAGATTGATTTCATCAACACCATATTTTTTTTCTTTTTCTTTTTTCAGCCGTCTGGCTTGTTAGAGTTCTATCTTGGAGGAATGATGCATTATGTCATTATTGAAAATAAAAATTCTTATATTTTTAACTTTTTTATAAAGCACAACAAAATAGGTCCATTCCTTTGGCATATTTGTAGATAACTAGCTAGCAACCATAAGATTAATTCAAAACCAAAAAAGGGTAGTGTTCTCGAAGATTCAACTAGTAAGGATACTCGAGTTAACCATTAGTACATTACAAAATATTGAACTCAAAGAGTGAATCAAGGAAATGCATATATTAATTCAACAAAAATATAATAAGATGCTTATATGTAAACAATTTTTGCTTTCTTTGATGCACGAGGAAAATGAAAAAACTTTTGCATGATTTTAAACTCCTCATTGGAATCAAACTCCATCTGGCGAATAATGACAACCTTTTCAAGTGCGGGAAAGCAAGCAAGTAGCACCTCGATGAATTGCAATTCAAACCTTGACCCATTGAATAATCTAAGCTTAAAAGTGTGAAGCATTTTAAGCACTTTAGCTGCACTTTGAAGTTCCTCCCAAAGTATAGATCTAGAGATTTCTGCATAAAACTTCAAAAAAAAAAAAAAGCCTCAATCAATTCATCTTTTACACCGGTATAACCTTGTATTAAGTAATGCGAAACAATAATAGAACAACTAGAATTTCATTAAATAATCTATCAATGAAAATGAAGATTACGTATAAATGAGTTATGTCAAGCTTGCGTAATTTCGGACATATTAGTAATGAATGAATAAATGAAGAGAAGTCATCATCATAAAGAACATTGACATCGTATAACTCCACGCATTCCACATTTAGTTCAGGTCCCCATCTAGTAAGTTCGCTGGCAAAAAGCTTGGAAACAAAAAGATATATAAAACGGATTAGTTCATAAAATATATTTCAAATAAATAATAGTCCGCAAAAAATAAGGAAGAAAGTACTGGCTAATATACCTTGAAAGGCTTGAAATTGAAATCCAAACAAAGAGTATGAATAAATGACAAGTCCAAGCTAACCGGGAGAATAGGAACATAATCGTCGATATCGTCATCATTGCAATAATACTGGAGTGTTAAACTGCCAAGCCTGGGAGCCTTAATGTTGAAATATGATGTATTTACACAATTGTTGAATGAAAGAGTCTCAAGCATAGGAACATCTATAACACAATTCATATTAATAGCACTAAAGATAACCACATCAAAACTAAGTGAAGTGACATTCGGAAATACGAAAGGGGCATTTATTGTTGGTGGAAATATTACTCCGCAGAGATCCAACCTCTTGAGAGTTGAGCAAGATAATATGCAATTTGGGAGCCCGAAGCATGTATTTGGACCAAACTCTGTTCGAAAAGTAAAGTTCATTTCTTCAACACCTTTTTGAGTGATAAAAAGGAACCATTGATCGAAGTCAAATTTTCGAGAACCATGCGTATCACTCATGATTGGTGAGTCACAATCAAAAACCAAGGCAAATTTCCGAATAGGTCCATGGTGCCGCATGAGAACTTTGTTGATTACATACATACAGGTTGATGTGCGATTATAACTGCCAGAATATTTTTCCCCAACATAAGCAAAGAACTTATCATCAAAGTTAAGCTGTGTGAGACTGGACCAACAATCTCTCCAAATGGTAGACAAAACGGCAGTTCTAGCAGCTTCTACGATCGGCAAAAATCCCAAAATATTGTCAAGTATTTCTATAGGAAGTTGTCTGATTCGATCTCTTCCCGACATCATTTACATAACTTCAACATATGCAATTTAAAGAAGAAACAAATTAAAATTAAAACAATATCCTAAAATGAGTGCACTTGGTGATACCGCGATAGCAATTAAATTGCAACACAAAAGGATGAAAAATTGCAGAGTAGAAAACACAAATAAATCATATATCGAAATCAATTTCAATCGCACTACGAACATCTATTGAACATTAATCCCTAAAGATTATAATCACAGTATGAAGTTAGTGTCTGGGATTGAAAGGAAAGGCGGAAGAATGTATACATACACACAGGGGAAGGCAGCAGATTGTTTATTTATTTATTTGTAAAGACATATAATATCAATAATCCTCCCCCACATAATTAAACCAGCAAAAAGAAAGAAGAGGAAATCCCAATAGTGTAAATAATAAAGAATCAATTGAAAACTCACATTGAAGGCAGTAAAAGCAACCTTGTGAGCTGAGAAATTACAGAGATAATGAAATTCCTCAGGGAGCTCAAAGGGTGAATCCGTTGCCCAGTCGCCAACAAATTCGACAATACAACTATACAAGCATTAAACAACTTGTGAATTTGTGATTGCAAATTACCGCTAGAACCCTAAATCCCTAATTTTGCTAATTTGCGTATGCTCAAATTAAATACCTCGATTTTTAGGCTGATGTGCGGCGCGAACAGCTACTCTTGAGAATCCAAACTCCAAACCTTCGCTATGGCTGGGCAGTGTGGGCGAGACAGTCAGAAAACTGCGTCGTTGAGTTTGCACTTCTCGGCTCCGACTTCGACTTTGAAGAAAATATAGCGAACAGTGTGCGGTGGAAAAGCTGCTTTATTAGGAAAATATTGTGTGCTGGCAGTGGATTTATTGTGTCCGCAGAATTTTGATTAAGGTTTGAATTAGGAAAAGGATTAATATTTGATGCACCTATAGACGCTTTACATCGGCGGTGAAGGAGGAGATGACACATCATTAAAAATAAATTCAATATTAATCGGATCCTTTTTTACAAAATATCTACGACTTGTATTTTTTTTTAAGAAACTCTTTTATATATATATAACTATTTATGAATTTCTTTATTTATTTTCATACCGTACAATGCACGGGTGGAGTACCAGTTAAAAATAAAACGAGCCATATTTCTTATGTCTTCATTGTTCTCATCGATCAAAATCAGTTCTTTTCATTTGTCTCAATTGGCAATTGTTGTCCATCTGCAATTAAATTCTACAATAAGAGATTAAAGAGAATTATTATTATGAATATTAAATAATATTTAAAAATAAAGAAATTTAAATGGAACTACAAAATAAGTTCATACTACATACCATATTTTTATTTTTCAATGAACAAGTACGCATGGTATGCCCTTTCTTTTTGCAAGTTGAACATGTAACTCCATTACTTTTAAGCTCTAAAGCTCCTTTCATTCTGATAGACCGAGGACGACCTTTAGTAGTCACACGAGGAGGATTGCGCATTGCTACATTATTATCATCATCATCTTGATGACTTATCATGCTTGTCAAACAACCAGTGGTACTAGTCATGTCATCATCAATCTTCAATGCATCTAACTTTTTGAATAAACATTGCAAGCATTCTATTGTGGTGTCATAATGCTTTTTGGAACGTGAAGCTTTTTCAGAAAGTTGTAATGATTGAACCATGATATTATTAAACAATGATGTTGAACACATATTGTAACTACTCATATCTTCTTCATTTGATGTGCTTGTAATTTCTCCTTTTTTGGCATTTGTTGTCCACCTTTTTAAAATGTAGTGCATAGGTAAAGAATATACATTTTTCTTGATAAGAACCATCAACTGGTGTCTACAAAGGATGCCCAAAAATTCAAACATGTGACATGAGCACTCTATCGTTGTTGACGAACTCATGAATGTCACTATGTACTTTGGTTTTTCTTTGTCAAACTCATGCACCCTATATACAGACTCATGCTCAATAGTAATAATTTTTTCTGCAACAAATTGCTGAGAATGAATCAATTCATCTTGAAACATTCAAACATCTTTCTTGTATAAACCTTTGAAGCTTCTTCCTCCATTAGATACAATGTCTTTAAGATAGGTTTTGAATTCAATGTTTTGAAGGTTTTCTCCCTTTCTTTATTGTACCTTGCGTCAAGAGCCTTGTCATATTGAACAACAAACTTACTTATTGGTGTATTAGCATTTATATAATCTTTAAAGTACTTATTCATACTTTCACTTCTTTGAGTAGTAGACATTCCAGCACAAAAACTAGTACGTACATAAGCAGGAATCCATTTTTCACGAATGGAATACAACTTCTCAAGCCAACTATTTCCTCGTAAAGCATACTTGTCAAGAATTTTTTCCCATTCTACTTCAAAAAACAAGCACATGACTATGATCTTTAGTAAATTTAGATATTACCCATTTGTCTTCGTCTTTTCTAGATACATAAATCATGGATTTGCATCCCATGCGTGTTTTATCAGATGGAGGTTTTTTCATGTTGTCTCGCTCTAAATATTTTTTTGCACGGTAACCTTGCTTTGAACAAACAAACTCTTGTCCAATAACCATTTGATTGAGCCAACTCAGAGCTTCCCTCATGCTAAGGGCTTCAGCTTCCTTCACACCATAAATGCCATGCATGTTCATGTTCTTCGCAACTAGAAATAGCCCATAATCATCTCGAAGAACCCATCCAAGACCGATTGTATTATTAACTTGATCTATAGCCACATCTGTATTAACTTTTATACTTCTCCTTTGTAAGTGTACAAAAGTTAGTACACATTAAAATCTATGTTGGCTAATTTATTTTATTTTATTTTAAATAGATTAAAGTTAAACAAAGCTCTTGGACCATGTTCGTATCATATGGGATTTATTTGAATGGCCCATAATTATTGGTTATATGTGAAGAAGAAGTCAGCAGAGTACTTTGGTTGAAGCTAAGTATACGGGATTTATTAAAATGAGTGCCAATGGTTGTAACACCCCTAAAATTTAAAACTTTTAAAGCTTATAATAGGAAGGCAATTCTATTATTAAATCCCAAAACAGAGCATACTAATCATAACTTCATAAGTGTTTGGGGTGCTATGCTACATCTGAGCTGGAAAACTCAGATACACAGGCTAAACTATCTAATTATCCTCAAACAATGTCATTACATCATCGTGGCACGCACGCCAAATAAGAATCTAACTAACTAAGCCTCGGGTCCTCTAGCGCGCTCCTGTTGCCAATCATCTGTGCCTGAAAGTCAAATATATCTGTTCAGCGAATAATGCTGATAACCCACTCACACGCGTTAAAATGCAATATAAGTGTGTGTGTGTGTGTATATATATATATATATATATATATATATATATATATATATATATATATATATATATATATATATATATATATATATAGGAAAACCATTTTGAAGCCGGAAAATATATACTTAGGAAACTCTAACTTTAAAACCAGGAATAGACTCGACACGTAGGGACAAACACATTCAGCAGTTATAATCAAGAATATAAAACACTAGCATATATCCTAAGGTCCGAGTTTATTTCACATCTTTCATATCGTCATTTAATCATTATCTTATCACATAAGCACACTTTGGTGGCGCCACATGACCAATCGCATGCCCATACGTGAGGGTCAGCGCATATAGCGCTAACACGGCCCCGCAGCACCCTGCCTCGTACCGCAACACGAAGGGGTTGATCGCAACCAACCGATGAACCGTAGCTCATCATAACGTTTGACCGCAGCCCAAATGTGTATTTCCGATCGCAACTAGATTATGAACCGCAGCTCATGTAAAATGTTTGATCGCAACCAAACGGTGGACCGCAGCCCAAAAGTTTATTTCTGATCGCAACCAGATTATGAACCGCAGCGCATGTATAGCCAATTTGATCGAAACCAAATTGGGGTATCATGCACACATAACATATAGCATGCACATGCAACCCATATTCACACATTGGGAAAGGGGAGAAAACGTATAAAGAAACCTATGCGTGGTCATCCAAATACTAGGAATAATCCTAAGGGGTTCATACATCTTTCAGCTAGATCAACGGGGTACCAATTCAACTAGCATGCAATATACAAGACTCTTTTATCCTACGAATGGCACCCAAAACATCCCACTAGACTCATGAACGATAAACGGAGTCCGTTGGGACACCACGAGGGTCGGGGAAACCACCATCCCAAATTGGGAATTTCCAGCGGGTGGAGGACCACCCGCCGGCTGCGAGTCGCTGGGCAGCAGGTGCCCGGCGGGCAATCACCTGCCCGCCGGCGATGCCCTTAGGGGCAGCGGGTAGGTGGCGGGTTCCCCTACCCCACCTACCCCCACTGAATATTTTTCAATATATTGGTCCTGGGATCTTTCGTGGAACCCGAAACCATGTTTAGACACTTTTAAACACAAACGACGACACCACGTAGTTAAATAATGGATCAAAACCAAGAATCATATTAAACACATCCTAACATGACTTCTAAACATAATTAACACCCGAACATGCGAAATCACACCCAAATATATAAAGAATAACACAATACGAAATTTCCAATTTATCCTAGGGCTCTAATCATATTTAGATCACAAAATCATACTTTATCTTTAAAATCAAGAACATCAAGATTTATCAAGAACAACACACAATTATCAAGATCCTCTCATAATCATCAAGATTATCAAGATCAACACATAAGATCATCTCATCAATATCAAGATCATATCGTAATCATCATAAAAGATTTATCAAGACACAAGCATAGAGATGGAGCCAAAGAAGAAGATTATAGCAAGGAAAATAGGTTTTGTTGAGACATGGATTACCTCTTAGCCTTAATTAATCCTCCCTTGGCTATTAAGGTTCTTCCTTAAGATTTACATCTAATTGATCTCCCTAGGCTTGGTGGTGGGGAATCCCTTGGGAATACTTTTGTGTAATATAACTATGGTGGTAAGGGTTCTAATGTTTTCTAATCCCCTATTTATAGCATCAAGAATCCTAATCATAATCTGAATAGTAAAATGCCTACTTCCTCCATTCCTAATAGATAAATAGGTCTAGGATTCCTAATTAGAATCTGACTAGAAAAAGCTTTACTCTCTTTATTCCTAATAGGCTTAAGACTCTAGTTTAGGCAGGGGTCTACGATCCATGGTGGACCACATTAATTAATTAAAGGGAATCCTAATCAAATTAAATCCTTTTTAATTATTATTAACAGAATTAATTATATAATTAATACGGGATTGAAGGCCGTAACACGGGGTGTTACACCCCCCCCCTCTTGCGCCTTTACTTTCTACGAATGGCTTTAAATATTTTGTGTTATTTGTGGATGATTACACAAGGTATATATGGTATTATCCGATGCGTGCCAAATCTAAATTATATGGCATATTTGATAAGTTTCGGTCACTTGTTGAACATTGTTTTTCTCGCAAGATTATTTCTTTCAATCTGATTTAGGGGGAGAATATAAGAAGCTTGGTTCCACCCTTTCTTCTCTAGGTATTCGTCATAGGATATCTTGTGCCTATACTCATGAACAAAATGGACGGGTGCAGCGCAAGCATCGTCATGTTGTTGAGACAGGACTGTCCTTAATGGCTCAAGCATCTGTTCCTTCTCGTTTCTGGGACTATGCTTTTGAGACTGCTGTCTATCTTATAAATGAAATGCCCACTCATGTTTTGTCTGATGAGTCACCACACTTTCGTTTGCATCGTTCTCCCCCATCCTACTCTTACTTGCGGGTATTTGGTTGTTTGTGCTTTCCTGTTTTACGTCCATATAATCGAAATAAGCTACAATTTCGTTCATCTCCGTGTGTCTTTCTGGATTACCCCCGTCTCATCGTGGCTATCGTTGTTTAGATACTAACACTAACAAGGTCTTTATCTGTCACCACGATGGGTTCGATGAGGCTGTGTTTCCTTTTGTTTCTCCTATTGCCTCGCATGTTCCTAAGCCACGCTCCGAACCGTGGGCCACCGCACCGGTTGTGACGAGCCGAGGGAATGATGTCTCGGCCACCTTTGTTGATGGCACTCGGCAGATTGACGAGCCCGTGTTGGCTTCTGGCCATGGTGACGGTGCTGGTCACGAGCAATCCGCATCGAGTGAGCGGACTGTCTCTGACCAGTAGGTTGAGCAGCGCGGCAGACCGCGCCGGGCGTCCTCGGCGATCCACTCCGCCTCCTCGGTCGCATGGCATGAACACTCGTAGCTCGGGTCCGCATCAACATGTTGCCTTAACCACTACTTCCAATTCGTGGTGTCTGAGCCTACATGTTACTCTCAGGCGGTCAAGTTTCCTGAGTGGAGTGATGTAATGGACGCAGAGTTCAATCCCTTGGTTCATAATCATACATGGCGTCTTGTTCCTTCTCAACCAGGTATGAATGTTGTTGGTTGCAAGTGGATTTTCAGAACCAAACAGAAGGCCGATGGTTCAATAGAACGTCAAAAAGCACGGTTGGTGGCCAAGGGTTTTAATCAGGCTGCTGGAGAGGATTTTTTTGAGACATTTAGTCCTGTGGTTAAACCCACTACGGTATGTCTTCTCTTATCTTTAACCGTATCGCGTGGGTGGTCTATTCGCCAGTTGGATATTCACAATGCTTTTTTGAATGGCGAGCTAGCTAAGACTGTTTACATGCGCCAGCCACCTGGTTATGAGGATCAGTCATTACCTGATAATGTGTGTTTGCTTAAAAAACCTCTCTACGGTCTCAAACAGGCTCCACGTGCATGATTCACAAGGCTACATAATTTTCTAGTCTTTGTGGGCTTTGCACCTTCAAAGACTGATATGTCTCTTTTTATCTATTCGCGTGATAATGTTCGTCTTTATTTCTTGGTGTATGTTGATGACATTTTGATTATGGGGTCTGACTCAGACCGTGTTACTGCTCTTATTAATAAATTGGCACTTGAGTTTAAAGTTCTTGATATGGGTGTGCCTTCTTTCTTTTTGTGAATTGAAACTGTCCCGTTATCTAGTGGTATGCTTTTATCTCAATAACGGTACATGAAGGATATTCTCAAACGTGTTGGCATTGTGGACTGTAAGCCAGTGGTCACGCTTGTCTCTACCGCGAAAACCGCCGACGATGTTGCCACTCCCTATGCCGATCCAACACAATACAGAAGTACAGTCTTGCTGCTGCTCTCCAATATCTTACGGTAACTCGTCCTAATCTGTCTTGTGCTGTTAATCTCACGCACGTTAAGTCCAAACCCAAACACCATAAATTTACCTAGATGCAAAAATTACCAAAATACCAAAGCGTTTTTAATTTAATTTTGGTAATCTAAACGTTGAATTAAGCAAAATCAATGGTTCTCTTTCACTGAACAACCGCACCTAGCACCCTCAACTGCACAGGAACACCTTTATATATATATATATATATATATATATATATATATATATATGTATGTATATATTTTTTGAACATTATATATTTGTAAATTAAACACATACATTGGCTGACATGGAAAATTGGATAGGGGTTCGATTCATAATTTGATAAGATGGTAATTTCTTCTCTGTATCTTTAGACTTCAATTATGCGAACAAAAAAAAGAAGGAATGATGGTTAAATAGGCCACCTAATTGCGCACCCAAATTTAATTAGGTCGTTGAATTTTTAAAGAATGTAATTGGATCACTCAACAACATAAAATTATGCAATTATGTTCAAAATAACTTGTTTACCTGAAATTATGGGTTACCAATTTTAAAAGTAATTTTAAATAAAATAATTAATTAAAATTAAAAAAAAAAAAAAAAAAAAAACTAAAACCGCTCGAGACGATTCGTCTCCGGCAGTCTTCGTCTCCATGGCCGGAGACGGAGAACTTCTTCTCCATGGGATGGAGACGATGACCTTGGTCTCCCTTCGTCTCCATGGCCTGAGACGAAGGGATGGTCTTTGACCATGGAGACGAATGAACTTTCGTCTCCATGGCCAGGGAGCAATCGTTATGCTTTGCAACCGTGTGCACCATGCAAGGTGCACACGGAATTGGATCCATAATTTTTATACTATAGATTCATAATTTCTATACTATAGATTCATAATTTCTATATTGTAGATTAATCATTTCTATAATATAGATTCATAATTTATATACTGTAGATTCATAAAATTTATACGGAAATTATAGATTCATAAAATCTATAGTATAGAAATTATAAATCTATAGACTATATTATAGAAATTATGAATTTATAGTATAAAAATTATAGTATAGAAATTATGGATCCAATTCAATGTGCACCTTGCATGGTGCACACGATTACACAACATAATTTGTCGCCAGGAAGACCAATCTTGGAGATGAAGGCCTTAATCATACTATATGACATGGCAAATTCATCATATGAGTCCCAGAAAATGTGTTATTGAAATAACGGGGTGTTTGGTTGGAAGGAAAGAATTAGGGAGAAAAGGAATTGTAAGTCGGTGGGAAAAGAATAAGGTGTGAATAAAGTAAGAATTCAAATTATGTTATTTGGTAGGGGAGAAATAGAATTTTGGAGTTGAGGAGGAAAGAAATGGTATAAAGACTAAAATACCCCTGTGTAATAATAATAGTAATAACAACTAAGGGTAGTAGTATCATTTCATTTATTTTTCCTTTCTCAAATTCATTGAATTGTGCAATTCAACAAAAGGAGGAAATTGCAATTCTGTGGAATTGCAATTCCCTCCAACCAAACGATGTAATTGAAGCATCCATTGAATTGCAATTCAATTACAACGAAATTACAGTGAACCAAACGACCTGTAAAAGTTGAGAGTAAAAAGTAAAGGATTAATATTTGATGCACCGTCGGTGTATAAATACTATACATGGCGGTGAATGAGGAGATGACACATCATTAAAAATAAATTCAATATTAATTGGATCTTTTTTTACAAAATATCAACGACATGTATTTTTTTTAGGAAACTCTTTTATTTCTGATAACAAAATTAAATATATCTACTTTTCTAAATATATTTATTATTAATTATTATATATATCTAATTATCTGTACTAAATATATATATATATATATATATATATATATATATATATCTAATTATTAATACGATTAATAATGATAATACTGTACCTCAGAAACCTTCGAATTAACCGTGTAAATAAATTTCATATTATTAATTCTAATATAAAAATAAATTCCTATTGTCGATTCTATTGAAATTTAAAAATAAATTTATCTTTGGACACTAAAATTAGAGAATTCTTAATTAAAAATTGTATTTGATATATAAAAATTTCTAAATTACTATATTTATAATTAAGAATTTTTTATTTTTAATTAACAAAAACCATTGGATTTCCTATATCTATCTTAACTCCTATATCTATTTAAACCCCTAAACTCCTAAATTTAAATTACAACCATAGTCACTATTAGAAACAATTGCAACATCTTATAAGAATATATATGTTCAATAATGTAAAAATTAACACTTAATCAAATGCACTTATAGGTGAATGTAGGTTCACTTGTAAGTGATTTTACTTGCACTTCGATGTTCATTTATTTACGAAAATGCCACCGCATTTTTTTTAAGTTATTAGATCTGGACACGTGTCGCGCGCTAATTCGTTCGCATATTTCTTCCTGGGCACTTATTCACACCTGAGTGCATCTATATATATATATATATATATATATATATATATATATATATATATATATATATATGGCCAGTGTCAAAGATCTTGTTTAATGCTCTGTTTTCTGCCTTGCAGTGTCATCATGTCTGGCCAGTTTATTGTGGAGAGTCAGCTTCATCCTCAGCAAACTTCAAAGGCTATAAGGTTGCGTTGTGTGCGTTCTTACGTTGTTACTGAAAACAAAGGTGAAAAGTTAATAAGAAGTCAAGAATGTATATTTCATGATCAAGAGGTTTGTCAATTATATCTATATCTACCATTGTTTGAATTCTTATTCTTATGTTTGGCACCTCTTATATTTTTAATATCTAACGTTGTTGTTTACCACTTTTGTTCTAAATACAGGGTCTGTTCATCCATGTCCATATACCTAAGGATGTTGTGGCAAAATATAAGAACATATTCAAGGAGGGTAAAGTGTATGGCATTAGAAACTTCCTATGCATCACTAACTTCTTCAAGTATAAAACAAGCCCTCATCGTTACATGATGAAGATCAAACATGATACACTTGTGAAGGAATATAAGCGTGTGAATTTCCCCAAAACAATGTTTCGCTTCAAGAGTTTTGAAGGCATACTTTCAAAACAGGGAATTGATGAGAAAGTCTTGATAGGTTATATTAAAAAAAATATATATTCTAAAGTCAATATGATTTATTACCTCTATTGTGATGTTATGTTTTATTTAACTACTATGCTATTTTTTCTAAATTCAGATGTCTTTGGTCGTATTGTGGAGATATATTCTCCATTGGAGAAACTAATAGCAGGGAAGAAGGCTAGACTAATTGACTTTGTGCTTGAAGATTCTAGGTATGAATTCTAATTCTGATTTGTCTCTCTAATTTTGATTTGAAACTTCTATCTTATGCTTTTTCTGCTGGTTTTAAAATGGTATGTAGTCAGAGGCAAATTAAGTGTACATTGTGGGATGAGCGTGTGGATCAACTAATTCCATACTTCAACTCAGTTGCTAAGGATCCAGTTATACTGTTGATTCAGCTCTGCAGAGCTAAATTCATGGACAGTGAGTTATATCTCTATTTACTTCTTCTATGTTTTTGGTTTATCCATTTCCCTCTATTTTACATTATTAGTAATAGTTATTAGTAATTACTAATGAGTAAACTAAATGAAAACTGGCTCTGAATATTTAAAAAAAAAAACAAAAAAACAAGCACATGAGACTATGGCAGTCATTAGTAAACAGCCATTAATAAACAGTGATACATAAGTAAACAGTCATTTATAATATGCCCAAAACAGTTGGAAATAAATAGTTTTGAATAAATAGGCAAAACCAGTCATTTTGCAGTCAAAATTATGTCCTATTCACTACTTTTATTTTTCAGATGGTGAAGCGCGCATTTGCCGTTCATTTGATGCTACTCAACTGTTTTTCACACACTCATGCAAAGAATTCCGTGAGTTAAGGAGCATGTTAGTTTTTCTAATCTATTTTAGTGTTCTGCTTAATAACTCAATTGTGTGTTACTAATTTTTATTTACATGTTCTCTATTATTAGCTTTACCAGTAATCATACACCTTTACGGTGTATAGATTCTGAAACCAAATTGTCTGATAGTAGTTTCGGCATTGCTGTGCATCCTAAAAATGTGTTGGTCAGTTCTATTCAAGATATATACTCCAATAAACAGGTAATCTCTTTTTTTTTTTTTTGTTCCTGCAACTTGGTTCCTGAATACCGTTAATGACTATTCATTGTCATTATTTTGCATTGAAAGATAAGAATAGTCTTCAACATGTTCACTGGTACATGTTACCCTGCTAGGTAGCTTGTTTCTAGCTAAAAAAAAACAAAAAACAAAAAACAAAAAACAAAAACAAAACAAAAACTACAATAATTTCCAACTCTATCTACTACATAAGTTGGTGAAGAATAATTTCTAACGGTATCTTCATAACATGAGCATGAACAGAATGAATAAGCCTAGAAGGCCTTTAAATGCTCCCTTGAAACATGAGCATGAACAAAATTTCCCCGCAATATTAAAAAGGAAATAAACAATATATTGTGTTGAAAAAAAAACGTAAAATGGTAGTGCTCAGATGGTTGAATAATTTATCTACTGTATTTAAATGCATACTTCTTGTTCATGGAAGAGACACTTTACCGCTACCTCTTCTATCTCAGATTTCATATCTATGCACACAATAAAATTTCATCTCACTGATTTCTGAAAGATGAAAGTAAACGAAGAAGAAGATGGTGACTTGCGTTGATGCTGTACTGTAGTATTTATAGAAGGATTATGTATACATGGAGTTCTAAAAGGGATAGAACAAATGGGTGTGCCTCGGAAGATGAAACGCCAAAGTAGAAAGAGATCTGAATTGATATATGTATTGATATGTTATTAGGGCTGGGCACTTCGGATTTCGGTTCGGTTTTTTTCGGTTTCGGTTTTAAAAAAATTAAACCATTCGGTTTAAAATAGAGTTCGGTTTCAGTTTCGGTTTGAAAAGTTCGGTTCGGTTCGGTTTCGGTTTCGGTTCGGTATTCGGTTCGATTTTGGTAGAAGTCCACTAAATAAACGTTTCCTTTTTTACTTGTCCGATTGTTCAGTTGGCTCACTTGGAGTGCCACTTGAAGTGTTTTGTTGATGACAATATAAAGAATCATCCATCTATAGTTAATATTTGAAAAATAAGAATTATTAAAATGCCAAATGTTGAGACTTACGACTTAGAGTTGATATATGAATACTTGAGGAGTTAAAATTATTAATTATTATAATATGTATATATAATACTAGCATTTTGTACGAGTGATGCGCGAAAATTTATGCCCAACATTAAAAAATTGATAAATGCAAATAATTACAAATTATAGTTCAAATTATATTTCGCAAAATCCTTAAATTAGTAAATTTTAATCATCGTATTTGAAAACTATAGATATGAACAAAATTGATATTTTGTTTATTAATAATGTAAACAATTTTGATATAATTTATACTTTGTTTTTACAATAAATAAATAAAATATATATAATACTAACTAGTAACCGGTCACATATATTGGTGCGTGTGCGTGCCTATATATATATACACACATATATAATTTACTATTCATAGAAATTTAATTAAAATATAATCAACAATTAAACTAATTATATAATAATTTTAATAAAATGATAACTAAAGAATAGGAAAAAGATATCATAGATAATTAGAAATAGGTGTATGATAATAATGATAGAATTATGAAAGTTTTAGAATTAAATAATAACGGTGTTATAACAGTATAAGGGTATTTTAGTCTAACAATAATGTATTAGGGATAATTTTGTCTATTACAATTGAAGTTTACAACATTTAATAAAACAATATATACCTTTATTAATATACAAATGTAAACATTAACACAAATGTGCCTTTAGCTTAATGGGTAAAGCTCTTAACTTTAAACTTGGTGGTTAAGGGTTCAAACCTCACTTAAGACATTTAAGTATATTGTATATAGTTATTAAAAAAAAAAAAAAACCGATCGGTTCTTCGGTTCGGGTAAAACCTGAACCGATCGGGTTAGCCAAACCATAGACCGATCGGTCTTTCGGTTTGGGATCGAACCGAACCGAAGTGCTTCGGTAAATTCATGGACAGTGAGTTATATCTCTATTTACTTCTTCTATGTTTTTGGTAATTATTAGTAATCTCTAATGAGTAAACTAAATGAAAATTGGCTCTGAATATTTAAAAAAAAAAAAAAACAAGCACATGAGACTATTGCAGTCATTAGTAAACAACCATTAATAAACAGTGATACATAAGTAAACAGTCATTTATAATATGCCCAAAACAGTTGGAAATAAATAGTTTTGAATAAATAGGCAAAACCAGTCATTTTGCAGTCAAATTTATGTCCTATTCACTACTTTTATTTTTCAGATGGTGAAGTGCGCATTTGCAGTTCATTTGATGCTACTCAACTGTTTTTCACACACTCATGCAAAGAATTCCGTGAGTTAAGGAGCATGTTAGTTTTTCTAATCTATTTTTAGTGTTCTGCTTAATAACTCAATTGTGTGTTACTAATTTTTATTTACATGTTCTCTATTATTAGCTTTACCAGTAATCATACACCTTTACGGTGTATAGATTCTGAAACCAAATTGTCTGATGGTAGTTTCGGCATTGCTGTGCATCCTAAAAATGTGTTGGTCAGTTATATTCAAGATATATACTCCAAAACACAGGTATCTTTTTTTTTTTTTTTTTTTTTTTTTTTTTTTTGTATTCTCTACTGGCCTTTCTTTCCTACTTTATTTATTTAACTCAATCTTACTTGCAGCTAGGGGAGTATTGGGTGTCAGGTATAATTGTTGATGTAGAAAGTTTAAGTGACTGGTATTACATTTCTTGCAAGAGTAATTCTTGCAAGAAAAAGCTTGCTTCTGATGGTGGTATGATGTATTATGCTGGGTGTAAGAGTTATTGGCATGAGGGAGTTGTGAGGTATAGGCTTATTGTCCGTGTTGCTGATCATACTGGGGATGCTCCTATGCTGATGTGGGATCGTGAATGTGCGGAATTGGTTGGTTTGTCAGCTGGTGAATTAAAGGCTAAGTATGCAGTGGTAGGTATTTCTATGTCACATACCTATGTGCTTAAATGGTGAATTCACTAAATAGGTTGTGCATGTGTTTTCTGTTTTTAAAACTTTGTAGGGGAATGGCTGTATTCCATCTGAGTTAGGGTGCTTGCGTGGCATGTCAATGTTGTTTCGGATTGCTATGAAGAAAGAGCAGGTTGAGAGTTACTATTCCGCATTCACAGTACTTAGGATTTGCAAGGATGAAGCATCTCTTACACAGTACTGCTCAAGTCTATCAACTGGCATTTCACAACCAACCATTGGTCCAAGTGATGTAGGTGGTTTTCTGGATGAGGATGAGGATGGTGATGTCAGTTCTGAGGTATATTCTTCTATCATTACTTGGTTAACTTTGCCACTATGGTCTTATTCATTGGCTCTAATGTTATTTCTTACAGGAATGCTTTGGTACTGATAATGAAGAATGTGTTGAGGTGGATGGTGGTTCTCAAGGTGTCAAGGTGGACAAGTTTCGTGGCTTAGATGACATTGAACCTGGTGTAGGTGTTAGTGGTGCTGTTTTGCCTCTTAAGAGGTCTTTATTTAAAGACTTTGTGGATGTTGGGGCTTCAAAGAAGGGTAAGGAAGTGGTGGTTAAGGAAGAAAAGTAATAGGTTATTCTATCTTTTTAAATGTAATGTTGAAGTACTAAGTGTTGACTGACTGCTGTTTTTTGCTATTCCTTTTTGGTGTTTAAGGCTAGAAAATTGCTTAAGCTACAATGTACTCTTAGAAAATAGATATAGTCTATTTTCCTATTTTGTGATTGGTTTTTTGGAAGCTGTATTAGCAAGAGTACCTAATGTACTTATCCTTAGTAGCAGCTAGTAAGGTCTTTGTAATCTACTTAGTTTTCTAATATAAAATTACCTACTTATGATTAGAAGCTAATCATTGCAGTTAACTTATACAGTGAGAAGTATTCAAATAAATAATCCAAACACATAATGGAGCTTTGCATCAAAGTATACAAGTAATCGAATCTGGAAAGGGGAAAGAATTGTAATGTTTTTTAAAAAGAGCTCTATAAAGAAAAAAACAATATTGGAAAATTATATATACATATAGTTGTTCACAAGTAATTGGGAAAAAAGTATCAAATACTTTTTTTCCGTATAAAATTTAATGTTTAATTTCAAATTGTTAGGAGTAGATTAACATAAAAAAAAAAAAAAAAAACTTTTAAAATTTGTGTAGCAATAATTCCATTTGTCTAGAATCCAGAAATATATAATTCCATTTTTCTTGCTGCTGATCATACTGGGATGCTCCTATGCTTATGTGGGATCGTGAATGTGCGGAATTGGTTGGTTTGTCAGCTGGTGAATTAAAGGCTAAGTATGCAGTGGTAGGTATTTCTATGTAACATACCTATGTGCCTAAATGGTGAATTCACTAATTTAAATGCTCATGTGTTTTCTGTTTTTAAATCTTTGTAGGGGAATGGATGTATTCCAACTGAGTTAGGGTGTTTGAGTGGCATTTCATTGCTGTTTCGTATTACTATGAAGAAAGAGCAAGTTGAGAGTTACTATTCTGCATTCACAATCCTTAGGATTTACAGGGATGAAGCAGCTCTTACACAGTACTCTTGAGTCTGTCGACTGGCATTTTACAACCAGCCATTGGTTCAGGTGATGTAGGTGTGGTTTTCTGGATGAGGATGAAGATGGTGATGTCGGTTCTGAGGTAGTGAGGTATATTTGTCTATCATTGTTTGGTTAATTTTGCAACTATGGTCTTACTTATTTGGCTCTAATGTTATTTCCTTCAGGAATGCTATGGTACTGATGATGAAGAATGTGTTGAGGTGGATGGTGGTTTTCAAGGTGTCAAGGTGGACAAGTTTCGTGGCTTAGATGACACTGAAGATGATTTAGGTGTTAGTGGTGTTGTTTTGGCTCTTAAGAGGTCTCTATTTAATGACTTTGTGGTTGTTGGGACATCAAAGAAGGCTAAGGAAGTGGTGGTTAAGGAAGAAAAGTAATAGGTTATTCACTTATTCTACGTTTTTAAATGGGATGTAGTACTACTAAGTGTTTACTGGTTGCTGTTTTTTGGTAGTGGTTTTTGGTGTTTAAGGCTAGAAAATTGCTTATGGTGCAATGTACTCCTAGAAAGTAGAAATGGTCTATTTTCCTATTTTGTGATTGGTTTTTTGGAAGCTGTATTAGCAAGAATACCTAATGTACTTATCCTTAGTAGCAGCCAGTAATGTTTTTGTAATCTACTTAGTTTTCTAATGTGAAATTATCTACTTATGATTAGAAGCTAATAATTCCAGTTAACATATACAGGGAAAAGCATCCAAATACATAATCCAAACAGTCAAACACATAATGGAGCTATGCATCAAAGTATACAAGTACACGAATTTGGAAAGGGAAAAAGAATTGTAATATTTTTAAAAAAGAGGTCTATAAAGAAAAAAAAAGGTGTGGAAAATAATATTTTCATATCAAGTTCAATGTTTAATTTGAAATTGTTAGTAGGGGTTGATTGTAAAAAAAATGCTTTTAAGATTTGTCTAGAAATAAAAAAGTTTAATTCCAATTTCCAAAAAAAAAAAAGTTTAATTCCAAATTCTGAATATCATGAAATAGCTGTAAATTTAAAAATAAATTAACTGTTATAAATATATATACTTAGTGGACATTATTATGTAACGGACATATTTATGTCCTCATTATGTTTACCGTTACGATTATCTTATATATATTCCCATGTACAATGTAAGTGATGATGATGAATGAAATCATTCCCCTTTTTCAATTTTGTCTATCTCTTTCTTCCTGCAAGCTAAGGTTCATCGGTTAGAGCTAATGGCCGACGGACACAAACAAACAACATTACAACACGTTATCAGCAAGCTCAACTCCGATGAATGGTAAATCATGTATATTCATATGAATATCGTATGCCTATGTGGTTATACCTGCTTATTTTTCTCCTGCTTTCTATGATGTATGTATATAATCTTTGACCAGCATGGTTTGAATTAGTATATCACAATTGGTGTTAATACATGATATACTAATCTATATACCAATCCTTTCATATATGCATACTGTTTTTCAAAATATATGCCAACCCATATATTAATACATGTTTTTTTTCCAAATACTGATCGGTTTTATTTCTGAATAAATACCTTTTTTTTTGCATAAGTACTTTTGGGTGAAGGCATCATCTTTGTCTAGAAACTTGTTCTTGATGAAGTTCTCTAGGCATTTGCGGTAGGAAAAATCTTGTTTAGCACCATTAGTGGAGACCATATAGAAGCATCTAGTGTCCTGGAACTGCTGCATTTTTTTTCTCGAAATATATTTCTGTTTTTCGAAATGAAATTATATCCGATGGGAGTGTGTGTACAGTGCTTATTTTACGTACCAGCATCATCGAAGAACAATCCTTGAAATCTTCATCCCTTTTGGAGCCTTTATAAATTGTAGAAACTGATTTTCTTTCAAACCTTTCTTCCGAGACCTACCATCGGCGGCAATGGATTCTGTTTTTTGGCCGATCTGCCACCATTATTACTATTATTTTTTTCTCCATTTTTTCTCTAGTCTGTCGCCGGTTTATTTTTTCGCGTTCTCTGGACTGTCGCCGGGTTTTTTTCGCTGATCGGCGATGTCGGTCGGCTTCAATTCCTCCCGCGATAGTGGCGACCGATGGTGGCTTGCGGAGATGATGGTCGCAGTGACGACAATCGGCGTTAGTGCGATCAGAATGACGGAGGCCTCTTCGTGTTCTTCGTCGGTTTTGTAAGGCAGGCCTCTTTTAATAACAAACGCCAGAAGCGTTTTTTCTCTTCGGCCTAGGGTTTTCTATTAAACTCTCTATTTTTTCATATCATTTATTTGGACCACCTTTCATGGGCTATATTCTCCCCGATTTGGTCCATTTAAAATAACATAATTTTTTTAGCCCATTTTGATGGATCATTTCTTTTAAATGGTCATATTTTGTGATATATTTATCCACATGTTTTATTTGGGCCTGATTTATTTATATAAATTGTTTTGGGGCTGCAATTTGATTTTTTTAAGCATTGAGAACTATATTGCTTTCAAATTGCCATTCAATTTATTATTGAAGTGCTCATAAATTAAAATTGCTACTTTGTGCAATTTATTTGGATCATATGATTTTATGAATTTCTATGCATATTCTGTTATATTAGCATAATATTTTTTTATTATGCATTATGTTTTACAAGTGGACCTTCGGATTTAGCCAGATTTAGTATGCATAGATTTGAAAGTTATACACCCTGGCTACTATTACCACACTTGTTCTGGACGGGAGTGATTATTTCATCCGGGCTCTTGATATTCAAATTTATCTCGATCCTACGTCACTTTGAAGACATGATCGTTGAGAAGTCCATGAATGACACAGCCCAGAAAGCCAACGCTTTATTTTTCTTACGCCACCTGAATACCTTCCTGCAAAGGACCATTATGTCTTATAGAAATCCCCGAAGGATAAATTTGACTAGCACATATACATTGGTCCTTTCTAAAATCGCAATTAGACTGCTTTACCTTGATCTTTCAAAACTTTAAATCAAATTCCTGATTCTAAATCAACTATACGCAAATTTGTGGCCCAACTAAAGTTGCGTAAGCAGAATTTTTTTTTTGGCACGAATTTGATTGGCGACCCCTTGTCTTCTTTTCCACACCACCCTCCTCCCATGAGTGTAGAAGCACAACTACATGTTGACGCAAATCTATAGTGCATGCCCAGTTGGTTCTGCACCGGTGCCCGAAGCACACGATATCACCTAATTGTGCAACACTAAGAGGGGCTGAGGAAGAAGACGGGAAAGAGGTAAGGCCAAGGTGGCAAGAACAATAACTCCCGAAACCAGAATAAAAAGCAAAAATGATCCAACTCGTCAAGAACAACAATAAAGTCATAACTTTGGCCCAACAGCAAGTTATGTTTCACGTATGGGTATAAAAGGCACTACTCACGTGTGTTTCACACCCGAAGCATTTTGCTGAAACCTGAACGAACAGCACCATGTTGAATCCAACAAAGTTTCCTTGCCTGAAGCAAAGCAAAACTTCCACCCAGTAGACACATGTGTGGCTGTTGTCAATTACGAACAAAACAATTGCCAAATTTCCGAGCAAACGTCATTTAATTAAATTTTCCCATTTATCCTCTTAAGCATATAAGGATGGATAATGTTGGTGAATTCAACTCGTTAACTTTTGACAATTGTTATATGGCATTAGGCATTATGATAAAGCATTACATGCCTTATGACCACACCTAAAAGGTTTTAGCTGAATCTCTAAATTTAAATTACTTGATAAACCATTATTTTCAAAATTTCAATGTGCCGGATCCTTATTCCCCCTTACATCTATTTATGCTAAAAATTTCGGCACACTGCATATCCTTATTCCCCCTTACATCTAATACGTTGTTTTCAAACAAACATTTCCCAAATCTGCGTTTCTATTCTTATGAATGCAGTCCAGTCTATTACATAATCATCATAGTGTATCCATCTAAACTTTCATTTCTTGTCTCCAATATTTAAAGCCCCTGAAAGAGACGCGATGGATACGCTGACTGCATGAAGATCGGT